TTTTTAAGAAATAATTTTAAATCCCATAAGAGCAATGAAAAATTATTAAAAATCAATAAATGATAAATACTAGCCAACAACACTTATTTGTCATAAATAAATTAATTTTAATTTTTTTTTTTTAACTTAAGTATTTCCAAAGGTAAAATAGTCCTGATATATTTTGAAATTTGAATTTTACATGAAATACAAAAAACTAATAACAATATATTTATTTAAAAATTTTAAATGTGTTGGTAAATATTAGTTATCCTGCTGATCAATTGTGCAATTTATAAAATAATTTTGATTCATTTTACTGCAATCTCATTTAATTAAATGAACTGATCACATATGTATAATATTATCATACAGTATACTATCCCATTGGTTTTAAAATATATTTATTTTAAATTCAAATCATAGATCCCAATACTCATAGACAAATAATATAATAAATGCCAATAGTGTTATGCAATGATGTTTTATTGCATGCATTTTTTAAATTTTGCTATTTTGTGCATAGCTAATATCTTTCTTATTTATTTCTTATGCGCAATTTTGTTTTGTAACATTGAAATGATTTTTTACAACATTTTTTAGATGGGTGGTATTTTGACTATGGCTTCTGGAGCAGTTGAAGGATTTGCTACCGTTTATTCTGGCTTAGAACAATCTGCTTCCATTTTAGGCGAAAACTTCAAAATAATACAGTAAAAGTGGTTGAACATAAGTAAGTACAATGGCAAACATGTTTGTATTCTAAACGTTTTTCTATAACAACTATTAATATTTAAATTTGTATATAAACTGCTTCTAACAGATACGGGCCTAAAGTTGCTGGAGCTTTGACAAAACCTCTGTGATATTTTAACGGATAAATTATTAATCTTAATTATATATTCAGGCATTATATTCCAAGCATATGCATGGCGTTTTTATATATTGATGTGATGTGCCTAAAAAGGGTTTAAAACAGATTTTACTATATATTTTTTATACTCTGCATAAAATTTTATACATTTGTACTAATAATATATTTTATAATCAAATATGAAATTGATTTTGATATATCCAAAGTAACTGGTTTTTTAATAAAGAATACCAATAAATATTGTTGTTTTAATCAATTGGGTTGTTTATTTTTTTAAATAGATATGGTCATAATGCTGGAGAAGTTGTCTCGGGAACTCTATCTACTGTAGGAAATGCACTTGCTGTTTCTGAAAATGTTCAAGGTAATGTACTTTAGTATAATCAACATATTAGTAATAAGAAACAATTTATTTTATCATAAAAATATAAATGCCTTTATAAAGTAATATTAACATTGCGCTTTCATTGCTATATATATATACTTGTGTAAATCACTTTTCCGACTTAAAAAAATTCACTACTTATTCTCAGCAATGTTGAATAATATTGAATTTCATAATGATTTTGATTCAATATATATTAATTAATTATTGATCAAGGTTCTCATGAAAATTTTTTTTATTTAAAATTGAGTATGTAGTAAATAAAAATTTAACAATATAATGAAAAAATCTACACAATTGTTTTAAGTATATTGCACTAATTTTACTTCAAAATTATTCCTGCGTAGGTCTTAAGCCCAAAAAACTTGCCAAGAAAACTGCCAAAGCTGCTGGCAAAGCTGTTATCGAAAGTGAAGTATCAGGAAAGTCACCAGAAAACGATGACAATCTAATTGATGATAGTGTTATGTACCCAGATCTTTCAGAACTCAGTAAACAGTTGCAGATCTCTGAAAGACGAGCAGATCTATGATTAAGATAAGTGGTTTTCAATTGAAAAAAGTATAAGCTTTCTTACAATAATTCAAGTTTGATATCATTTCGGATGCGTATTCTAAATTTATTTGGTATTGTTTTAGAGATCTTGCCCTATTGCATTTCTATTATTTTAGACAAAAACCATCATTTAAGTTGACTGTACTTTACTCTTTTTTAACAATAGTAATAGACTTTTATAATCAATAATTTATTGAAGGGTTCGGAAATTATTTTGGTAATCCAATTTATATGAATCTCATTGTTTTAATATCATTTATTTTATTATTTATTATCATAAAATCCTTCTTATTTATTAAATCACTTTAAAACATCGGTAACTCAACAATAAATCTTGTACCCATTATATTTTTATATGAAGTATTTTTTATCGCTACAAAAATTTTGATATTAGTAGAAGGTTAATCCTCCTAGAATAATCTAGAGCTAATCTAAACGGTATGAAGATCTTAAGAATTATAGAAAATGTTAAACCATATTTATTTACAAATTCTTACCAGTATAAACATAATATTTAAGAGTATTTTTGCATCAATTTTCTGTAAAGGTGTTTAGGGTTAATCAATGCTCCTCTCCGTTTCAAAATTAACTAAATTTGGAGCATACGCCTAACTTCCAACAACAAAAATAGATTTTTTAATTTGATCTTAATAAAAATGCAATCACATTTGAATGAGCAATATTGTATTCAACTGAGTTTTATGTTTGGGTTAGTCTTCCCTCGTCTTAATTTATAGTCATACGCAAATTGCGCTTAATTCTGGTTCATTTGCTATGAGAATGAATTAAAATTATGTATATTGTATTTATATTTGAATATGTGAAATATTCATGTAGTTAGGCTTTGAATTTGTCTCATATTTTAATATGTGATCTTAAGAAGATCTGACGAGATTCGAATCGCTGTGTTTTGATATTATTTTGTATCTAATGATATTATTTAAAAAAAAAACGACTAAAATAGTTTGAATTTAATAATATTAATAACCTGATATTTGATATATTTATTGAAATTGAGTGATATTAATATGTTAATAACAATTGTTATTAATTGATAGTTTTATAGCTGTGTTAATAATGTCTGAAAATATATATACTTACATTATACCTATAATTTTTATTAAATTTATACGAAATGTTTAAAATCTATTGAATTCATGGCAATAATTTCTAGTATTTTTTAGATCGCTGAGATTGAACTGGATAAGAACGAGCTCATATGTTATTATCGTTCCCGCTACCTGAAACAAAAAATATATGTATTCAAAATATCTAAAAAGATGCAATTGATCTTAAATCGATTTCTTAAATTTTTGCTTATATATCATACGGTTAACATAATTCTTCTGGATATGTAAAAAAAATGCATTCCACTTAATTGGACATTTCTAGCAGCCACATGATCCAAGAATCTTTGCGCATCCTGTAAAGTAATTCATAATGTATATAATATATTATTAATATATATATATATATATATATATATATATATATGTGGGAGTCGTAATGATTATGATAATATATTAAATTAGAAACTCCCAACATAATAAAAAATATAAATTTATTAACTGTAAAAATATTTCGATATCAAAAATATACATGACATGTCCGATTGTTTTTTACAAAATAAAAACCAGCCTGCTTGATATCGCCACACACTCCCTGCCCAGTGTTGATCTCACAGTTTAAAAAAAAATACAGGGAAACACGTTATAAAAATGTGGTGGGAAAGCAGATTATAGCAGACCAGTGTTGTAATACTGGTCAATTACAAATTTTCATGTTTCGTCAGCAGATCCACCGTATGTGGTGATTTGACCTGCCATCAACTCCATATTCTGCATAATGTTCTCGATCTAATGGGTATTAGTTATATCAGAATAACTTAATGTTTAGAATGCATAATTTATGGGTACAGTTTCCATTTCTGCAAGCGTTGCATTCGTATCTGATGAGTTCCGATCAGAGAAAGAAGTTGGCTCTTTATCCAAATCAGGATCATTGGTTTCTTTGACATAAGAGTCCAGAATTGTGGAATCCAATAAATTATGTCAAATTTTGTTTTGATTCGTCGTTGTCACCGATAATGGGAGGTAGCATTATAAGACGATTTGTTGAGTTAACAGAGAAAGAGAGGTTGAATTGCATTCCAATTAAAAGTTCAGGCTCCAAATTATTTTTTCTGTCAGCAATAAACACTGAGGTCTGGGTATACCAAATGAGTAACCTCGGAAGTCTGATCCAGATAGTAAGTGCGTTAACTATGATGGATTGGACTGGACATACCTTATAGGTCGTCACTGAAGACCAGTGATTATGGTGCTGCGTCAAAATCAATTTTTTTAAATCTTCGAAAAATAAAACTCCTTTATCTTCATCTATCACGTCGGGGTCACCAATGTGGGAGTCGTAATGATTATGATAATATATTAAATTAGAAACTCCCAACATAATAAAAAAATATAAATTTATTAACTGTAAAAATATTTCGATATCAAAAATATACATGACATGTCCGATTGTTTTTTACAAAATAAAAACCAGCCTGCTTGATATCGCCACATATATATATATATATATATATATATATATATATATATTACGCTTTACGGTTTTAGTTAATTGTTTTAAAATATTATTTTCGGGTTTATGGAAGTAAACGCTTATGACTACCTGTATGTACGAGTATCGCTTATAGTCGAGATTCGCAGGTGTGTACGGAAGTCGTCTATTGACGACGCTATTACTGTGCCGAGTCGACCCTTGCTTCTTATTAATCAATTTTAATGACATTTCAAGCTATTCTGAATCGAATGAGAGCAAATTTGAAAAAAATATTTGTGTGTATATATAATATAAAAAACAAATTTTGTGCCGTAAATCGACGTTTTCTCAAAAACGGCTAGACCGATTTCAAAATTTAAAAACCATTCGATGTATCTCGATGAGGACTAGCGTTTATCAATTCTGCGCGAAAATCGGTGGAGCCGTTTATTTGTAAATAGCAGAAAAGTAAAAAAAAATCGTTTTTGTTTTAATTCTGAATCGATTTTAAAAAATCAAAACTGTTCGAAAGATATTGGTTGGAAATGATACTGATTAGTTTTAGGTTTATTGAAATTAACTGTTGGAAAACAAATTGCCGATTTTTATGAAACTTTTTTGGGCAATAGATATCATGGTCTTATAAAACATACTAAAATGTTACCATCCTACGACAAATAGATTAATGTTAAAAATTAATGCCTTTAGGATGTGATGAATCAAACTTTGTCGATTCATTAAAATTTAAAATAATAAACTACAAATTTAGAGTATACAAGTACGTGTCGGTTTCATATAATTAATATAATTACAGTTAATTTAAATGTGTTTGAGAAAATTCTATTCGAAATTGCAATGTTTAGATTTAATTGGAAGCGATAACTTTATTTTTGAAATAAATTTTATACTATCAGTATAAGAAAGTAAAAATTTAACATTTTTACCGAATTTAATAAATTTATTGAAGCACGTTAAACATAAATATCTTTGGCCCTCGCAAGTCTCACAAAATGTTATAACCTGTTAGGTCAAATTTCGTGTTATTTGTAGTATATTCATTTACTTTACTAAAACTGGGCCTAAACGGAAAGTTACTTTAAACCACGAGGCCCTCAACGTGTTAATCATTAACACGTTGAGTGCCGCGTGATTTTATGGCCACTTTCCGCCATTAACTGTTAACGTTATTTTTTTACCTGCGAGTATCCTGTAGATGGCAACGTGCGCATGACGCCTTCTGGTCTTCTTGCTTCATGAGCGACTTCTGCTGAGAATAAAGATACCGCAAATGTTCTTGCCATTAAAAGCATAAACGAAAACCAAAAGTAAAAAGCTTGGGCTTTGTCTCTATTCGAACGTCTGATAGGAATAATAAATAAAAAATTAATATTTTCCAAGAAATTATTGGGCATGATCTAACTTACGTAACTCCTTTCAGAAGTTGAGAGCATATGAAATATAAATTATTAGAAAATGATATAAGTATTATAGGCCCAATAATTTCATTTGCTGTTTTTACTAACTCTGACAGCAAGACATAGTCTTCACGAATATTTCTCCAAAATTGTACAGACATTTCCTAGAAATAAAAAAATATGTTTATATATTAACAAAGGCATCCGAGTTTTGCTTATAGTATTTTGTATACCTTATATTTAACTTGTTCTAAACGTTTGTTCAGTTGTTTAAATTTTTGGGTTAATGCGGCTGTTATCAAAATTATAAATAGATCTGTATAATTCCATGTGAATGTCGTTGCTATATTTAATATCTGAAAAATCAAATTAATATATTTTACTAGATTTTAAAATGGATATTTTGGCAATTTGCAATACCTGAAACATTGCTGCTAATTTTATATTATTTCCATTCCACATATATACCTCTGGAAAGCTCACTTTGAAAAATTCTTCTAATATAGTACCACTAATTGCACATTTCTTGGCATAGGAATAATTACTGTTTATTGATAAATAAAATTCCACTACGGATAATCAAATTTAAAATGTACTTATCAATATTAAACCGTACATATATTAATTTAAACTAATATATGAACAAACACAGTGAGAATCTATCAATTTAAAATAAGGTGTTATTTAATGCTTATCATGTAAAAAAATATGTGGTTGACGCATAAAATTGATAACGCTTTTAGTTTATCATCTTAAAAAGTTTCTTTGCGCCAGAAAATCCGATTTGATAATTTTAAATTTTTTCGGCGTTTCAGGTCATTCGAATAGTTTGACTTAAAAGCTTTATAAAGGTATTTGTGTGTGTATGTGAGCTAAAGTTTGATCTTCGTTTGTGTTTTCTCAAAAACGGTTGTACTGATTTCAAAAATGTAAAAGCCATTTGATGAGGCTCGATAACTACACGCGTTGTCTAGTTTTACAAAACGATCGACAGATGTTTGAATTACTTTTAATATATTTTTTTAAAGAAAAGTTAAAATACAATAATTTGCTTCAAGTTAGAATTGATATGCGCCAAAAACGGATATAAAAAAAATTAGCAGCCCTTTAAAATCCATAGTCATTTATATACTTATCTCAGAAACTGCATATAATTGTTATTGTTGTTGCATAATAAGGTTTAGGCAACTATAATAATGTTTAAATAGCAAATGCTCTCTTTTAATTAAAACAATTGTTTTTTTTATATTTAGTGGACGTGACATTCCGCCAATTTTAATGTTCATGTATTTATAACAAATATAGCGTGTAAAAATAATTTGTAAGTACCTA